CACACTGGAGAAGGGGTCAGGCTGCGACAGGGGACGTGTTTGCTGTAGGGAGGGTGTGGCAGGGTCCTCGTTTTGGACAGCTGCCTTGGCCATCTGCCACGCGTGCAGCGAGAGCAGGGTGCCACATGTTGGAGGGCAGCAGGGGCTGGAAATAGCTCACATCTACCTCCACACCAAGCACCCAGCCTGGCTTCATGTCTCCAAGTGCTTTCCGGGGCTGGTCTTCACCTGCCCAGCCACACTTCCCCACGTTATCTGCATACGGGAACCTCAAGAAGTGCGAGGGGCTCCCTAGTTTGAAGCTGGTGCCACAGCGTGCACTGCTGGTCACCACCAGGGCAGGTCCAAGGCAAACTGAGGATAAGGTCCAGGAGTTCCTGCACTGCAGAGGGTGTCTGGGCCAGGGAGTGGCTGCTTGTTTGCTTTCTTTAATGCTCAACTGTAGCCAAAGCACTGTTTTAATTTGAAATTTGGCAGGGATATAGCCTTTCTGTAAACTGAAGTAGTTCTGTGTTTCTGGAGGAGTGGGGAAGAGAGAAGTGAGGTGGATTTTCAACTGGAAATGGAGCGATGGGGGATTTAGAGGCAGTGCTTCTGCCTGGTGCCTATGCTGCTGCTTTTTCCCAATTCCCGGAGGGTGGGAGGTGTCACCCCCAGCCCCCGGGGCTCCCAGCCGGAGGAGCGACGCTGCGCTGCCGCCAAGCAGAGCAGTGTCAAGGCAAGGCCACGGCGGCTGCTCTGCTGTGTCAAAACAAAATGATGTGTGTTGGAGTCACGCTACTGCTGTGGAGAGAAAAGAACTGGGAATGAGCAAAGAGAGAAAAGCAAGGATGAGAACAGAGCCAGAGCTCTGTCTCTCTCTGCCAAGGCTGGGAAGTGGCAATTTCTGATCCCGTTTTCCTGGGTTTGGCTGCATTTAATGTTTCAGGCCCTTGTGGGCACTGTTTGGCAGCAAAGCAGCAGTGCACCTCCTACGCTCCCCTTGCTGGGTGGGATAGCACTGGCCAAGAAGGATGTTGTAGCAGCAGGAGAGGGGGCTGAGCATGTAGCTGGCTGCTGCCCTCTGGTCCTTTCCACAGTGGGGAAAAAGACCATGTGCTGCATAGTTCCCCAAAACCAGCAATTTGTTGTTCCTCCTTCCTCCTACATGCTCTGCTCTTCTGTGCCAGCAGGCACAGCCACAGATTTCACTGGGGAGTGAAAGAGTAGGTAGCAGAGCTCACAAGCCACCATCACCTATCTGGTGCATCCCCTTCAGCCCCAGAGCCCATGAATCCTTGTGGAAAGAGTAGGAGCACGGGGATGGTGGGAGTGCATCCTGGGTGCTCTCCAGGTCAAACTACCCTGTGCAAGAGCAGCTGTGGGCAGGCAACAAAAAGAGCTAGAAATTGCTGCTAGTTTGACATATTGCTCGGGAAAGACATCTCCTGCTGCAAGGCTCATTTTGTTCACCCAGAAATTGCCCAAGAGGCTCCATGGTCACCATCTGCAAATGCCTGTGTGTCAAGAGATGTGCGGTGATAGAGCTCTGCCCCAGGGTTGAGGTGACCCAGCAGGAGGCAGAGCTTAGTGCCTGGCTTTAAACCAAAATCAGTCTAGCAAGAAACACCAATTTTTTTCTTGACAGTTCTCATTGACCTCGGAAGAATGTGCCCAGGTTCGAGCAATCAGGAATGGTTGTCCTCTCCAAAACAGTAGCTCTTGTCTTGGTGCAGAGGTCTCTGCCTGGGACATTGGGTGCTGTGGGTAAGCCCATGCAGATGGGCTGGCATCGAGCACATGTGGTGGTGGGAAGTACATGCCAGTCCATAAGACACACTGAGCTCAGCCTTGGAGAGGTGAGCTGCCTTGGGCAGGTTTGGAGAGCTTTCCTGCAAGAGGCACATGTATGTCTGCAGTGGGCCACCAGAGAACCTTCTCTGTTCTTGTGCCTTCCTCGTCTGCACTCGCCCAATCTCTCCTACCCTTGCTACTATTTTGAAACAGATGTACATTGAAGCTCCTTATTCTCTGGGAATACTGATTCTCTCCTGCTCTCCCTTCATGTGAGTTCATACAAACATGGTACTTAAGCCAGTCCTTGTCTTTGATTAGAATTTTATCTTTCTTTTTTCAGGTCCCATAAATTAGCCTTTTAGCTGGCACTGCTCTCAGATCCAACAGATAACAGCCTGTCTCAGCATCTGGCTGTTTCCAACATCATTGTTAACATCATCTTTTGGGCATGACTGACCAGGTGCTCACATCCATCATTCAGCACACAAGCTTTAAAAAGGGCCTTTCACTCAGAAGAAAACATTCCTCATGTTTAAATGCAGTTTCCAGTAACTTTTTTGTCTCCCTTTCTCCAGTATATTTTTTCCCTCTATAAAATGCAAAGTGAATTGTGCCTGGGAGCTGCCCTTCAAGGAAGCGTCTCTCCACGGCACAGAGCAATGTGTGTTTTTCCCATTTTGTGCAGCAGCTTGCAAGGCTTTTTTGGGGACCACCTTCCAAGGGGGTCTCTTCCTCTGGCTTGCTCCACTTGTGACAGTATTGCTGTGACTGTCCCAAAGGAGCCTAACTGACGACAAATAGCAGCCTAGATTGTAAATCATCTGCACTAGAAACTGAACCGAGACCACCAGCTTCAATTCTGACAGACACCCAGAGAGCCCAAGCTGATTCAGTTGATGCCTCTAGAAACCCCAGTATGGAAAAAGATACGTCAAGTTATATTTTTCCAAAGCTGGGGTAGAGCTCTGCATGATAACATACAATGGAATAGCAATTAAATGGCATGTGGGGAACAGAAGAGTAAGGGTCTGAAGAAGAAGGAGAATGGGTGAGGAGGAAGATATAATTTAGACAGGACTTAAGAGTCATATTAGCATGGGGAATTGAGCAAATTGCTAGAAGAGTAAATAGATTCTGGGCTGGGCTTTTTGTATTAATGTTCTCTCTTTTCAAGTTTTCCCAGTGCTCCTTCCTTTCAGGCTGGAAGAACTGGTGTTCTTTTGAAAGCGTTGATTAACCAATACTTCATTTTTTTTCTGGCTTTTCCCTCAAGGTTACCCTGGAAATAGCAAAAGTACCAAATTGCTAGCTTGTTCTCACACAAAATTTAGAGGAGCTACAATATAGAAAGGCAAACGACTTCCAAGAGCCTTTCCCCACACATGGACTCCTTGGGCAGACTGTGGTCCAGTTTTGACCTTTGCTCTTCTTCCAGTAATATGCTGTTTCTGTAGGGTTGTGTGGGTGACACAGAGAGCAAATCTCACTGCTTATCCTTCCAATGGATGACTAGCAATGCAGATATCTCCATGCATGAACTGCTTTGCAAGTTATTTTTCCACATGTTTGGTTCTAAATGTTTGCAAGAGGCCCTCAGGCAGTTGTACCAGCCCTAAGATGTTGCCATCTGGGCCTGTCAGTTTGAGAAGTGTTGAGAAATCATGTGAACTCACTGCTAAAGTGAGGATTTACAGAAGACAGTGTGTACCTGTGTTTCTTCAACAAGCTACCAGCAGCCTTGAATCAGCTTAACTACCTGACTCACTAGATGAAGAGCTCATCATCAGGAAGGGCAGGTGTTGGGTTGTGCAAATTCCTGTTGCCAGATTCACCTGAAAATTCAAAGATGTCCTTTAATCCTTTGAGTGCAGATACAATTCCACCCAAGGAACAGGTATTTGGGAAGGTATTGTTAGCACCACCACAGATGATCACTGCAATCAGGTGTAAGGTGGTGGTGGGGCAGCATGGTGTTCAGCAGACCACCCTGCTCTGGAAGTGAACCTTGTAATGTTGCTAGCAGGGATTACTTGATACTTGGTATAGCAAAAAAAATGGATTTGACAATTCAGGAGGCCCTTTCAAGTCCTAAATATCCATGCAAATATGAAGAAATCTTATTTTATAAGGTTTTGAATAATTTCTTTGCAAGTGGCTTTTTAGCCATAAGGTACACTCTTTGGGTTGTTTATGAGTAACCTCTTTAAACTCTTCTTGCCACTTTTACACATGATGCAAAGTAGTCTTAATTTCCAACCACAACTATTTCAAGGGTGTGACTTTTACCCCTTTCTAATAGGCCCTGATTTTGTGCATTCCTGATCATTTTGAGACACCTTTTCAGTTGAGAACCCCAAGTTACAGTCAGCTTTGAAAAATCTGAACAGGTTGAAATGAAAGGATATTTTCTTTTGGAGAAGTGAAAAAGAGCCATGGTAACTGTATGCAGACGTAATGCTAGGAAGACCACACAGGAAAATAACTTACTTCTGGTCAGGTTATAGTATGTGCATTTGGTTACTAGCCTTTGGTCTGTGCTGAACAATAAAAAGAAATGTCACCACTAAAAGAAATTTGGATCAGAGAAATGTTAACATAAATGCCTAGATATGGGCACCCATTTCTCTCTCTCCCCATTTCAACCAGCTTTTGCACTAAAACATAAAAATTATGATATATGAATTCCTCAAATTACTATGAATTTATCTGAAACCCAGTGAGAAACTGGGTCATTGAAGCTTTGTATCCAGTAAGATGTATGGGAAAAGATGAAAAGTAGAGTGTGTGCTAAATGGATCCAGCTTTAGTGGCAAGTAATCACAGGCACTAAGATCCTATTCAAAGATGTACGAATAATACCCATGAGCATGTTAATAGTGAATTAGGGCCATTATGCAGACACCAGTGACAATATGTTAGTGCTATTCAACTTGTCTGGTTTCTTTGCTTTTCATTCACACTGTTTTCTTCTTAAAAGCTGGTCATTTGGTGGTCATGAAATGTGATATAGTGGGAAGATCCTGTTCTCTCAAGTGTGCTAGAGTCTTTGTTGACTTTGTCCAAAGGAAGGAGACATGCAGTTCTTCCTCCTTCCACGAGGAAGAGTCTTGCAGTAGTTTAACTAATACTTTCTTCTGTCCAGTCTCACAATCCAGTGACCAGTGGCAATAACACGCCTGAAAGGCCTCTTTTAACAAATGGTGCTTCCCATTTTGTTGTTTTAGTGAACTTCCCAAGAGTGGAGGATGACTTTCCAAGCTCTGAGCAAGACTTTGAGGACAACAATGATCCAGGTTGGTGCCCAAATGCCACACAGGCAATTTAGCTGGGGGAGCTTCTGTTTCAGTATCAGATGCTATGACTACTCACAAACTTCAGCTTTAATGGGGGTTAGGAGCTAGAACACACTTAAGAACATCCACTGAAGTGGTGGCTTAGCGTCTGGACAAAGACATTAGTTTTCTTTTCCTGTTTTCAACAGGCAGCAACCTTGCAAAGTCAAGATATTGTATTTGTGCTAGGACAAGTGGAACTGATCTTTCAAGCATTAATTGCTGCTTGCATGGCATTTTTGACTTGTAAATGAAGAAAATTAAGTCTGAGAGCTGTGACAGATTGTTTCCATAGTTTTGAACCCAGTGGCACTGGAAGGGCCAGAGTTTCAGTGAGTGTAATATGCTAGAATGCTACGTAAATAGGCTGATGTGTAAAAGTGAATTAGGGTGCCTAACTTTCTTGGCAATTTGGTGCTTCACATTATTTCTAGACCTGAGTTCGTGAATCCTGCTGATATTCACACATACATATACATATAT